TAGATTATATAATTGATTTGTCACTTTATCTTTCTTAGATTATTGTAATAAATATTTAAAAAAATTAATAAATAATTTAATTTTACTTTTTACTTATTTTCACTTTCTTTTGCCTCATTCAAACAATTTTTTTTATTGTTTGTTTTGTTCTTTTGATTTTTTATTCTTTCATTTAATGTTTTGTTTTTCTTTTAAATTTTTTTTTCATTCAATGTTTTGTTTAGATAAATACGTAAAAAGTTTATAAGGGTGAAAAAATTACCTAAAAGTAACATCTGTTAGCGGAAGATAGTATTGAAAGAGAAGAACTATATCGAGAGAGGTTAGCGAAAGACAGTATCAAAAGAGAAGAACTTTATCGAGAGAGGTTATCGATAGTAAAAGTATTCGATTTATATTACACAATGTACATATGTTCTTCACACTTACACATCTACTATGTAGACATAGTATTTATAACTAAAAATGAAAAATTAGTTAGGTTAATTATCCTAACAAAAACATCATTAATTGTAATTGTTCAATTATTATCTAATATAACCCCCTAATTCAATAATCAATTTTACGTTTAAGCATTTTCTTAATTCTTCAAATCTTCAATTGTTCAAAGGCTTTGTCATGATATTCTTCAACTGCTCCTTAGTGCCACAATGATTTAATTTCAGCTTCTTCTTCATTACTTCATATCTAATGAAATGAAACCTTAATCCAATATTTTTGCTTCTTCCATGATGAATTGAATTTTTTACCAAATTGATAGTCAAATTATTATCGATCTTCAAGGTCATTATCTTCTCAAGTTTATTGAGAACTCGATTCACTAAGCTCTCGATCCAAAGTGCTTGACAAGTTGTATATGCAGTAAACATGTATTCTTCTTTACAAGAATAAAGTGCCACAACAAATTGTAACTTTAAACACCATTGAATTAGTGATTTTCTCAACAAGAACACGTAATTTGATGTGTTTTTAAAACAAACTTTATCACCAGCCCAATCTGAATCGGAATATCAAACTAACTCTCCTTCACTCTAATGTGTAGCAGTAGGTAACAGAATACCATAATATACTATTCCTCTTATGTATCTCAGAATTCTCTTGGTTGTTGCAAGATGAGATGCTTTGGGTTTCTCCATTAATATGCTTAGTAACCCAACACCAAAACAAATATTTGGTTTACAGCAACACAGATATCTCAAACAACCAACCATTTGTTTGTAAATTGTAGCATTTATAGGCTTCTCATATTCATATCTATCTAGTTTCAAATTTGTCTCAACTGGTGTAATTGTCGCATTACATTCACTCATTCTGAATTTCTTTAATACTTCTTTAGCATATTTACTTTGGTGAAGCATAATTTCTTTCCAGCCTTTGATAAACTTCATACTCAGAAAATCTGACAGCCTCCCTAGATCAATCATCTCAAACTGATCTTTCATCCTTCTTTTCAAATCATCGATCGATATAATTTTGTTGTCAATTATCAAAAAATCATTGAAGTATAAGAACACTATTAACACATCATCACCCTTGATCTTCGAGTAAATTTCAAACTCAACTTTACACTTTGAGAATCCTTGTTGTCAAAGACAACCATCAATTTTGATGTTCTAGGCTTTCGAAGCGTATTTCAGGCCATACAAGGCCTTTTTTAATCTAAGAACCTTTTGTTCTTTCTAGTAATCACGAATTCACCATTTAAAAGTGCATATTTAACATCCATTTGATGCATGTGCCATCCTTTGTAACTTGCAAGAGTTACAATAGTTCTTATTGTCTCCATCCTTGTCATTAATGCATATACTTCTTTGTAATTTAAACCTTCTATATGAAGAAAATGTTTTGCCACAAGTCTGGCTTTATATCTTGCAACTGTTCCATCTAGCTTCAACTTTGTTTTATATATCCATTTTACTCTTATCAATCTTTTATTCTTTAAGAGATCAGTTAATTCTCACGTATAATTCTTCTTGATTGGCACCAAATCTTCTTTCATTGCTTTGATCCACTTCGGATCTTCGACTGCATCTTTAAAGCATATTGGTTCAGGTTCGATCTCAATGTATAAGGTTAGGTATACAAGATCATTCTTAATGTACAAGATCGACATCTGTCCAGTTACAATAACAATATCATCCATGTTAATCACATAATCATTGAGTCTTGTTGGTATTCTTATCAATCTTGTCGGTTGATTTATCCTTATATCAATTTTAGAAATTGAGCAATTTCTTCGTTCTTTGATATTTGAAATCGATCGATTTCTTCTCTGACAATTTTTGTAATCGATTTTCTTCCTTTTTTATTTTTGAAATTAATTGATTTCTCCTCTTGCCAATTTCTAGAATCAAATAATCTTTTCCTTCAATTTCTTCAACACGTGAAACATCAAAACTAAAATTTATGTTTTTCTCTATTGAATTTCACTCCCAGTTGGCTTTCCCATCGACAATCACATCTCTGCTAATAATAATGCTTGATATGCACCTTGAAGGGATTTCTAGCTTATTTTTTGTCATGCAAATTTCACAAATATATTTACACTTCTGAACTCGAGGCAATCCCATTACCATCTTCTTCTTCTAAACAAGTTGACTCATACTATCAAAATTAAGATGGTCATACTTCAGATGTCATAACTAGTTGACATAAAACAAATGTACCTATAAAACACATATGATTCGATATTGAAATATAGCCTCTAAAAGTCTTGTTTCTACTCAGAAGAGCCTTCATAATCAATGTTCATTTTTATCAAGAATTCTCAACATTTTCTCCTTTAATCTCTAAACGATCAAATGCCTTTTTTGTAGAAGTTGATAGATACTCAATAGATTGTGCTTCATGGCTGAAACGTAGAGCACATTTAAAATTATTTCATATTTCTTATCTTCTTCTAATCATAATAATTCCTTTCCCCCTCACAACTTCCTGTAGAACTATCTACAAATTTCACGTTCGATTTACTCTTTTCATCTAACTCGACAAACCAACTCTTCTAAAACAAAATATAATTGGAACAACTTATATCCAAATACCAAGATTCATCGTATGTTTTCTCTATTTTTTCTGTGGTCACCATCAACAACATTTCATCCTTTAAGTCTTCTTTTTATGTCACATTTGCTTCTTCTTCATTGTTACTTGTATATTTACTCCAACAATCAACTACACAATGACCATATTTGTAACTGTTACAACACTTTACGTTACTTTTACTAGAACCAGAACCAAATTGACCACCTCTCAATTGTGAATTTATACCTTTTTCATTTGTCCATTGTGAAGAACTCTCCTGTTGTCCTTATGAACCTTGGCCTCCATTATTTCTACTTCTAAAACCTCTTCTACGATGTATCTTGTTAGATCTTCCTTGATTACCCTCATTCTTTTTATTTTTTTGTTTTGAATAAAGTTTGTTCTGAATTAGACTTCTCTTCTGCTGTCTCACATAAATGTTATTCATGAGCCTTTAAAGACCCTTATAATTCATCCAACTTCAATAAATCCAAATTATTGGATTCTTCAATAACAACAAAAATCATATTGAATCTTGTATTGAGGGTTCTGAACACCTTTCTCCATCATTGCTCTCTCTTTCAAGCTTTCACCACATAATTTCATCAAGTTTGTGATAGAAAACAATCTTGTAAAATATTCTTAAATAGTCTCTTGTGTGTCCCATTTGCAACAACCCATACTGACGATGCAAGATTTAAAGTTGCACCATCTTCAACCTTTCTACTCTTGCATAACTTTGCGTCAATATATCTCAAACTTCTTTCATCCTGTTTGCCAATGAAATCTTTTCAAAATTATTTTTATCGACACACTGATGAATGTAAAACAAAGTTTTACAATCACGTTTCTTTGCATCTCGAAACATAACATGTTGTGTCTCGACGGGATTCTTGGGTAGTTCATCATATTCATTCAGAATAATATTCAAAACTTCTTGAAACCTAAAAATAACATTCATCTTCACGCACTAACTATTATAACTATTCAAATTCTTGCTATCGAGCATTTATATGTTACCATGCAACCTAATTTCTGTCATCATCATTGATCTTTTTCTTCTTCTCCAGTCTTAAAGTTTTTGATACCATTATTAACAAAAAAGGTCTAAAAAGAGTATCAAAAGAGAAGAATTGTATCAAGAGAGATTATCGACAACTAAAGTAATTGATATATATTACATAACGTACACACGTTGTCCATACTTACATATCTATTATATAAACACAATATTTATAACTAAAAATAAAAAGTTAATTAGGCTAATTATCCTAACAAAATATATATAAAAGATGGTGTGAAAAAAAGTGAAAAATCGAAAAATTAAAAAGTATTTTTTAATTAAAAATTTACTCCTCTTAGATAAAAAACTTTTAGTGAAAGGAAATAATATAGATGTATAATACATTATTTTTATTCACATAATTGATTATATTCTAGTTTTTTTAATATTAATTTTTATTTTTAATTATTATAATAAATAAATAAAAATATTAAATAATAAATAAATTTATTTATAATTAATAAATAATATTTTAATTTATTAAATCAATCTTATTTTATACAATTTTTTTCTTTATTTCTCTTTATTTTTAGTTTTTTTTTTCATTCAAACAAATAAATTATCAGCTCACTTAAATATAGTATTCAGTAAAAATTCAAAAGTCACTTATTTATTTTTAATTAAATGCGGTAAAAACTCATTCAATGCGAGAAACTTTATTTATTTTAATAGAAAAAAAATTATTAATAAATAATTTTACTTTTGTTTATCCAAATAATTTCAATTTTCATTTATTTCAATTTTTTTCTTTTTGTTTTTTTACTGTCTTGGTCTCCATAAAAAAATTATTAAAGTTGAAATATAAATTGAAAGTCAGTAAATTGACTTTGTTTTTGAATGTTTTTATAAACTATACAAAAGGCGTAAATAAAAGAAAAGAGAATCGGTGTGAACCCCCCCCCGGGGCGTTGGTGGTTCAGTCAACTGTGCAAAATGTTGGCTCTCTGTGCTGCAGCCTGCAGGCGTACGTTTTCGAGGCTCACATGTCAATCCATTTCCAATTCTATCTTTACCTCTTTCATTGGATTCTCCTCACTTCAATTATCATCACTCTTCTCTCTCACATCTCAATTCTTACACTTTTCTTCCCAACATCTCAAAAGTCAAGACCTTTGACTTTCACGCAACCTCACGATGTTACTCGGAGATAACTTTGTCTTTTTATGGACTATTTCGCATGAATAAAAATGGATAAAAATAAAATTCAAATTAAAAATATTTCAGTAACGAATAATAGACCAGAGATGAGAGTGAGAGATCCAGAGAAAAGTGAAAACACTTACGAAATCAAACGTATGAACTTAATTTTAATATCTATTGTTTTCAACAAACATAACATTAAATATAATACATATGGAAATTTTTTTGTAATGGATTTATTTTATATCAAGAAGTATGATTCTTAATATGTGTATGAGAATATATTTGTAGATAAAGTCAATTTTTAAATAGACGAAAAAAATGTAAGATGAACGTGTTTATTAGAAGAAAAATTATAAAGGATTTAAAAAAAATGTTTGAGATGTATTAGTTTTTTCACTTTACTTTACTTTTATTTTTAGATTTTTTTAAACAAAACAGTATTATTTTTATTTCTATTTTCCACTTATTTACTTTAATATTTTCATTTGAGTTAATTAAACTTTTTGATGTTCTTTCAATATAACAAATGTCCAATTTTAGCATCTCTTGTTATTCAATTAGTATAAATGAATGAGTTTCTTAAATATAGTCTTTACACAATTTAATTTCTAATTAACATATTTTAACAAATGAAGGTATTAATAATCAAAAGTCATCAATAAAATACTTAATTTAATTTTATAAAAGTAATAAGTAAAATATATATTTAATTTTATAAAATTATTATATTTTTATTTGAGGTGGAATCTCATCACAATCTATTATTTAAGGAGAAATTTTCGTTAAGTTTCTCATTTTGAGAAAAATTCTTGAATAATTTTAATATTATTAAAATTAACTATGACACCATCTTAAAAATAATAAAATAATTAACCTTATAAGATTAGTTGAGGAAGATATAGATTATATTCATGTTACGTATCTCTATTCGGTATAAAAATTCATCACATCTTGGAAGAATTTTGTTTCTTTACACCTTTTCATCTTGATAGATTTTTTTTCAACAGAAATAAATTTAGAAAATTAATTTAAAAATATTGAGACATATAAATTTTATAAGAAAATCATAATATATTTTGTATAAAATTTAAAAGAATTTTTTTAGATCATAATCCTACTGTTCCCTTGGTACTTTGAGACCATAATATTTTTCAATTTTTTTACGGAATAGACGCAAAAGTTTGGTGCAAGATGAAGATACTTTGAATTCACTAAAAAGAATATTATAGACAAGGATTTAGTTTAAATTTATACAATTATTTACATATTGCATATGTCACTAACCCCGATTCTGTCACTCGAATCAAGACAACAAGAAAATGTTTAATTTTGACAGCAAATGCAGTGATATAATTTGTTAATTATATGAATATGATTAACTAATAGACACCTTTTTCTGATTAAACTTTTTGACTAAATTACCTGAAAAAAAAACTCAAGCTGTTTTATTTGGACTTGTTTCACGTGTTCCGGTTCATTAATTTACATAGAAAATATAAAAGAAATAATTTATTCGGTGAAAGGATATATTTTAATTTTTCACATAAATTCATAGAAAAGAAATGATTGGTTGCATGGCCTTGAAAAATGAAGATAAAGGGGTGGAATTGAAGGAGTAATGAAGAAAAGCAACATTGGGATTTTGTGCAAGATGCTGCTCTGCTTCTGCAACAATCTGCATTGTTGTTATTAATGCAGCTTACCCCACTCTCCATCAATTCTTTTCTACCACTTCTTCATCATTGCTTCATCATATTTTCTCCCATTTTGGCTTCATCCTTATGATTTTTGTTTTTATTTTTTACTAAAAGGATCATTGTAGATTTTCTTACACAAAGTTGTTTTAATTTAGAATTAATTCACCTAGATGAATTTTTTTTTTTTATCAAACATGTAAAAAATTGACCTACAAATTTCAAAGTGCTTAAAATCATGGTGTCTAAAACTAAACATGCACTTTGGAGCACAAAAGCCATGAAAAAAGAGACCAAAACAATTTCTCGTTATTCAATTCAAATAGAAGATATTATTTCATTAATACACTGAATATTTGAATGATTCTAAATTTCTAATGAAGAATCATTTCAGCTATTCTATTGTGGGCCAAATCGCAATGTAGCAGGTCCGATTTATTGTATTATGGACCACTTCTTCACTGACTCTACACAGGGTGAGTGATGGGCTTTTATTCTTCCAAGACCTATTAATTATTGACCCAAAAAAAAAAAAAGAATTGGACTTGGAAGTTTTCTATAACCATTTTAGGTCTGGCTGTTGATTCTGCATCTCATATTTGTCAAAAAAATTGTTGTATTGAATATTATTACCTATGGTTATGTAAAACAAAATTATTGAATGGATTTAACTACAACTTCGAAAATAGATTTAAAAATATCAAATAAAAAATATACTTTGAATCATCAAACTATAAAAAAAATACACTGTTAATTAATATTTATTAACTTTAAAAGATAATCTGAAAAGAATAGTTCGAATATGTCATCATATTTAAATAATTATCTTTTTATCATATATCCATTCAATAACTATTTTCAACATGATAAATAGGTGCTAAGTTAACCTTTCTTAGAATACTCCAGAGTCAACTTTCTGCAAGCATTCTATATATTTTTTTTTTTAATATTTTCTTGAATCAACTTTTTATAAGTAGCTTGAGTTGATCTTTTAAAAGCTTTGAGTCTATTGTATAAAAGTATTTTATATTAATATTTTTTAAAAATTTGAACTTATATTTTGCATTTCAATTTTTTGAATTCAATTACCCAAAGTTTTTAATATTTAACAATCTAAAATACTTCAAATATGTTTTAATATAACTAATTTCATAAAACTAATAAAAATATTATTGTCTTTTTAAAAATATCACTCCCAACATTGTTTGTGTTTAGCCTTTATTTCTTGTATTTGATGCAGAATGGTGCCTTGGTATTAATCCAAAGATGACAATTATTCGATTCAAAGACAGTATAGTGTATTTTGATTTAAAGACAAACATATATAACAAGTAAGTGAAATTATTTGAAGTAGTTATCATTTCTTTTACATTGAATTGTGGATCGGTGACTCCAAATAAATACTAAAGTATATGCAATTTAATTTTGTGATTCGAAAGAAAAATGAAGGAAAGTGTGATTAGTGATAAAGATCTCATGGTGTTTTGTAAATGAGAATGTGAAAATGGGTCACCACCAAATTCCATGATTGGTACGGTTAAGGCTTTTCCCACAAAGAAGACCAAAACGTGTCATTTGGTCATTCCTTTTCTGTTTTCCAAGGTAAACAAGTGACAAGGATCTCCACTTCCACCACCACCACCAATACTTCCCCACAGAATTTATCTGCCACCACAAAACAAATGTGTCAAACCAAACCAAAATAATAATAACAAAAGAAAAACAAATGTCCAAATTCGTGAAACTGTTCTTTCCGTATCTTGAGACTTGGTCTTGCAGCCTACAACATTGTCGAAAAGAAGCTCTGTGTGATTGTGACACCAACAATATTATGCTCTGGCTTGGTGGGTTGGGTCATACATTTCGTCAAAGGATTCCAATGAACGCAATGCTTGGAACATGCATGGTGGAGACCCATGCGACTTCGTTTCTCCCAAAGATGTTTTTTTTGTTCCAGGTTGTACACATTCATTCAAAATCACACATAAAAAAGTTACCTCATCTTAGTAATACATGCATCAAGCTCCTCTGTCACCATCTCTTTATCTTTTAATTAATTATATGTTTAGCAGCTTATCTTGTCTTATTATTGTTGTTGTTTTTTTTTTAATTTTGTTTCAATATTATTTTTACTTTTAATTTGATTTCATTTCTTTTAGATTAATTAATACATATTTTTTATACATATTATGCTAATATATATTACATTAATTGTACGATAGACATGTCCTCATCTCATCTCACATGTGATATAATTAATTAGGTTAAGTGCATAGTAAAAAGTAATCAATTAAAAAACAAAAAATAAAATATTTTTCTCACTTAATAATAAGAAAAGTGATAAAAAAATATTTTATAAAATCATCCTCTTATTAATAAATATTCTAATAGTCTAGTTTCTCTTATCAATAAATATTGTAAGACACAATAACTAATAAATACTTATATATTTATATTTCTTTTAATTATTTTATTTTGCTAGAATATGATAAATATAAAAATGTTTGTAAAGATAAAATGTATATTTTAATGTATTTTTCATATTTTTTTAATATAATATCATTTTTTAATTTAAACTCAAATATTTTAAAAAAATAATCATAATTTAAAGGTGTTATTGTAAAAATTAATTCATTGATAACAAATTTTAATAAATAATTATTTAAATAATTTTATAATTATATAAATATTAAATAATATTTTTTGTTCTTATTTGTTTTACGTGACTTTCTTTCAAACAAATAAATATACTTTTCATTCTACTTTATTATAATCGAAAAGACCCTTAATATTATATATTTTTTTAAAGTAAAAATACATTAACTTATTTAAAAATTAAAAACTAAATAATATTAAAATGAAAATAATAAAAAGTAAATAATGGACGAAATAAACACTTTAATCTTAATAAATACGGTAACACAAACTTAAGAAAAATATAATACATAAAAGTTAAAAAATATGAAAAAAAATAAAATAAAAACCAGATGGATATTTTTTTTTTTACGATATTTGAGTATAAAATATGTAACTAATTCGTTTTGTTGAAAAAAACTTAAAAAACTATATTCTTTTCCCAGAATATATCAAGGTTTTTTATTCATTAGGCTAATTTTAATTTGTAATTGCATCATATCAAGACCATTGATTTAGACTTGTTGTTAGATTTTGTGTAATATTAATTAATTTTTTATGGAAGTATTAATTAAAGTGGAGTAATTGAATCAGTATTCAGAATTATTAACAAAATTATTTGACTTTCTTCAATTAATAGACTTTTTAAAATACTATTTGTGAACCTAGCTAGTCTCCTTGTTAAGAGATACATTAATTGGAATTATTTACATCATATTAGCTTACATTATAGGAATAATAAATACTTGTGATTAATTAGGTGAGGACGTAGCTGGCATAAACTCTCTCTCATGAAAATAAAGACTCTCCTTTTGCATGATTGTGACCATGTTCACTTTCTTTTGGTCAATCAAGTTCTTCTGTTTTTCTTTTCTTTTTCTTAAATTTAAATTTCATTTCATAAATTTGTAGTAATTTAATTTACATTCACATTTATAATTTTGATTTCTAAAATTTAATAATTATTAAATAATATTTACAATTTATATTTTGTATCTTTTATATTTATTTATTATTTTATTTTATATTTATTTATTATTTATTGATAATATATTATTTAACTTCTCAAAATTAATAATAATAAGATTGCATTTGACCAACAAATGTTATTGATATTTAATAACTTGATTATGCGTGAATTTTATGTTAAATATTTTTTATTGCGAGTGAAATTCTCGAAGTCTCGTTTAGTTGATTTATCGTTCCATTCTAGTCGATAATAGTCTAATTAAATTATATTTTCAGAGTTATTAAGTTTTGATATTCCAACCATTCTCATGTAGTAATAAAAAACTTATTTAAATATGAATAAGAAATAAGAATGAAAATGTAATTAATACAGAAAATAAAAACAAGTAGTAGTTAGTTAAAAAGAAGTGAGAGGAGAAAAACTCGAAGGAGAGAAGAGTGATTGATGAGAGTGTTGTTTGGGAAAAAAACCGAAATCAGGTGAAAACATTGGAAGCTAGAGAAGTCGAGAAGAACAGACTTTGCGTTGCTTTCACGTGGGTTCCTGTCATTATAACTCCCCACAACTGCTACCCTGATTGCAACGTCCACACATACCAACAAACTTCACACTATTTAATACACAACTCCAAATATTTTACAATTTTTTTCTTACTAATAAACAATTCAACAAATTGATCTAATTATATGTTTGATTCTAAACTTCACGTTGAACTTTTTAGTAAAAAAAACTTGTTAAATAATTTAATCTATGTAACTCTTCTTATATATAAAAATATGACTTTTATCATGTAAAAAAATATCGCAAATGGGATTACTTTAAAGAGATCGAACAACAGTTTACAGAACAAGTTGTTAAAGATGGAAGTGTCATAAAAGGCACCGCTGTCAATACAATTATAGTAATTCAAATACACAATTAATATAGAAACAGTTTAGGGAGGGTGAAATTGATTTAAAATTTTATACTATTTTTTAGTGTCATTAAAGTGGTATGAAGAAGAAAAGTGAATTGAATTTGGAAATTTCTCTACAATTTTCATTTGCATTGATGAAAGAAAATACATACACATAGTACTTCACTCTACATGTGTTACCATGATAGTTAGAGACTCATATCTCAGCTTGAAAACAGCCATGAAATCACAGCCTCCACGCCGATCCGAACCCAGGACGACTCGGTTGTGCCATCTCCTCCATCGGCGTTTCCCGGACGATTCTTCTAACAATGCTTTTATGATATGTGTAACTCAAATCACATCAAAATACACTCCCTCACTCACTCTAACAATGAGATTTCATCAATGTAGCAAGAACAATAATAATTATAATAAAGCTTCTCATCACTCAAATCTCAACCAAACCGAGGGTTTAACTAAACCGTCCTCGGAAAACTCGGCCGACTCAACGCGGATAAAATGCAAAACCGAACATCTCGTCCGGTTCGGTCGGGGAGTTACCAAATGGTTTTGTCAGTAGGGCCGTGCAGGAGCGGTCGAGACTCGGGCCAGAAATCGAGGTTGTTGCTGATGCCGACGTGGCAGTGTCGTTTAAAGTCGTCGAGTTCGAGATTTAAGAACCGGTTCGGTTTTCCGGATTCGGACCGGGAGATGAACCGGAGAACCTCTTGGAAGAGCGTTTCGTCGCAGGGGATGGCTAACGGACCGTGGTTGGAGAAGCCGTACTCTTCTTCGGCTTGGAGGAGAAGCTTCTTGAAGACGGGGTGGTTCAGGTACGTCGCGCGCACCACGAATCTGGTGAGGTTGGTCCCCACGCAGACCGCCACGTGTCCTGCGGGCACATCGGACGGCGCTCGATGCGCGGACATGCGGGCCTTGTTGCGCCAGCGCTGTAGCATCTGGCGGAGCCGAACGATGTGTCGGATTTGGCTGCATTTCGCCGACATTTTTTTATTTCTATGTTTTCTGTTGATGTTGGCTGGTGCTGTTGTTGGGGGAAGAAGTTGAAGGAAGCTGCAGTGGAAGTGATGATGAATGGTTGAAAGAGAGGGTGATAAAAATAAAGGTTGGGGGATTGGAAGAAGGGGGAGAGGTTAAGAATTTATAGTTGAGAGGTTGGTAAAGTGCCCTTGTGAGTGGGGATAATTACGAACTAAGTAGTCATCGTCTCTGTCTCCGCTCCTTGTAGCAATACTCTTCAGGGGTATTAGTCATTAGATATATATTACTCCAAGTGATTTAGTATCTGTTTGGTTTATACCTTCAAACTTCTAAATCCACGTAGGAATATATATACAAAATTGTTATGTTTTCTAATTTATTCTTAAATTATATGATAAAAGTGATTTAGGTTAATGCAATTGTAGATTTAAATGATCTTTTATATGATAACCTATCCTTTATAGGACAAAATCTTAAACTTAAACACATGATACTTAATGCCATATCAAATATTTTTTGAGGAGGAGTTTTGAAATATATCACTTTTCTAATATTTTCAAACTAAGAATAAATTAATTTAATCAAACAAATTAAGATATAGTTGTTTCACATTCAAAATATTCAAATTTTGGTTTGATTAAATTCAATAAAACACATAGTCATATCTTTAATCATTAAATAAATGTCTTGATGCTTATTGATATGATAGATGTCAATTGTTTAGACATCAATTCGTTTAGGGAAGGTGGAGGTTAACCTGAAATCCAACCTCAAATGGTACAATAATATTTATAAAAATATTTTGCATAAATACTCTATTTTTTTCTTCAATATGATAAAATCATAAAAAAAGAAGTGATTGAAATCAAAGAATTCAAAATATCAACAAAGAGAATATATTTACTCTTTAGTCTAATGTTGCAATTCATTTATGTTGAATGTAAAATATTTTATCAATTTATTTCTTTCTTATTTTTATGTTTTATGCTTTATTTCTTGGTGACATTTGAGGATAAATTCGTTTTTTTATTGGTTAAGTTCACATTTCTTACTCACTTTAATGCTTTAAAGATAAGAAGAGTTTGACCATTTGATGAATAAATTTTCTTGCACTGACACATTATCTTTATTATTTTCCCCGTATATAGACGCATAATTTTAGTTAGTGTTAATTTATTGTCTATAAACGAAATTAAAATTTGAGAATATATTTAGATTCAAATAAAAAAAAATTTAAAGGAGTACTAAATAATGATATAAACTTATATATCAAGTTTTATTAAAAACAACATTAGGAGAAAAACGAATCACTGAAAATGGAGCAACATTATTTTGACAATAGCGCCGCATAAGATTAATTGAAAATGGATTTATAAATTGGTTTGTTATTTTTAAATAATTAAATTTTAATAAATTGGGATAAAAATTAGAGGAATCAGTATAAAACTAAAAAAAAACAAAAAAATTACTGAATTTTTTATTCAACCGATAAAAAAATTAAATCAATTTTATAATATAATATTTTTTATAAAAAATATAATATTTTTTCTTTTTTTATTTCATATTAATTATTAATTGTAAATAATAATTTTTTATATTTTTATCTTATTTTAATTAATATTTATTTTAATTTTTTAATATATTTTATATTTATAATTTTTATTATAATTTATAATAATTATGATACTAATTTTTTTATTATTACAAATATATTTATTATATACTTATTATATTAACAAATATTATTTTATTAAATCGAGTTAAAAATACTTTAAATTTTTAAATTTTAAACTTATGTTCTCAACATTTAAATAATTAATTCAATTTTAAAAATATTAACTACAATTACAAATTTTGAATATTAAAAATTAGTTTTTATGGTAACATTGTAATTAAATATTCCTTTTATATATTTTTAAATACTTCTAATTACCTGATTCTACATGTAAATTATTATTAAGGACAAGTTTACATATTTTTTTAATAAAATTTTAAAGTTCTCATTTATAAAGTAAAATGTAAAAATAGACATGTGATATATATAATAAATTGGTGATAAATATTTATTTATTTGAATTAAATTTTAGAATCAATTGTTTTAATAATCATTGAGTTGTTTATATATTATAAAATAAGTTAACCTAAAACTGATTTTCTCTTTCTCGTAGTTAATTTTGAACTATTAATTTAAATATTTTTTATCGATGAAAATTAAACACAAATATAGCATTTGTGGTAACAATTGACATGTAGTAATATTATCATGCAGCTTTTATTTTTAAAATTTATTTATAAACCGTAAAATTTATGTAAAATATATTAAATTTGGTGGTAACATTTATAATGCCAACGCAATTCATAATTACTTGATAACGTAATCAGACTGCGGTCAACCAAAAATTGATGAACACCTAAAATTGCTCAAACCAGCAGCATCGGTTGAACAGCTTTGCATCGGGATAACAATTTGAGGGCAAATTTTGTGTTCCCACACCTTAACTATTAAAAAACAATATGTATTTTCAAAAATAGTATATATATATATATATATATATGGTAAATATTTTAACTTTATAAATTAGTTTTAAGAAATCAAAACCTACATTTAAAATGATATTAGATCTTGTTTTATCTATTAATTGTTGATCATTTGTAACATTTTGTAGTTTAATTGGAAATTTTCATCAAATTTTTAAGTTATTTGAGATGTAGAGGAATTTAAAAATTTGTATTGAAAACGGTTTTAAAACAATTTTTTTAAAATTAAATAGTCTATTAAACTTTTATAAAGCATATTCAAACTTATTTTTATAAGTAACACATTAAAATTTTTATTTTATTTTAAATAAGATTTGTTATTTTAGATATTTTTAAACAATTTATATTAAATTTGTATAATTTTATTTTAATTTAATGTGTAATATTTATTTTTTTTATTTCTATTTCTCTTACAATTTAAAAATAATTAAATACTAATTTAATTATTATGCAGTGAAACCCTATACTTATGTGTATAATAATTAAGTGAAACAAATAATTGTGTATCTCTTCCTTAAAATATGTCTTGAGGCCTATGATATGTGACATATATAGTCATTATTTAGATAAACTCATTGTTAACTTCAAAATTAACTCAAATGGTTTAATAATATATATTTATTTAAATATAAAAATATAATACTTTATATTTAGTATTTCTAAAATTGAAATCATAAAAAAAAAATTATGAGTGAAATCAAAGAATTCAAACTTATTGAGAAATATAATACTTTATATTTAGTTTGACCGATGATGAAATCAATGAAAAAAAATGTTATTGAAATCAAATAATTCAAACTTATGAAAAATCATCTCAATTAAGTTTTACATGTAATTGAAATAGATCTACGTTTTAGTTTATTGTCATTAAATATTTAAATAATTTTTTTTGTATTTATGTGTTTTATTTCTTTGATGATATTTTGTATAAATTAATTAATTTTACCTCTTAATATCACATTTCCTAACATTTTACTTGTTTACCCAGATAATGAGAAGAAGAATTTGACCAATTGATCCAGTTTTCATTTTGCTTTTCAATGAATAAATTTTCTGATATAATTCTAGTTAGTATTAATTTATTATTGAGAAATGAAATTGTAACATGAAGATATATTTAAATTCAAATTCATTTTTTTAATTTATTTATATAAGATAAAATTTATATAAATCTAATAAATGTAATAGTAACTTTTATAATGCTAACGTAATTCATAACTACTTGATAACGTCATCAAATCAAGAATTGAACAAGTGTACATAAGACCTACAATTTCTCAACCTTGCATCGCTCAAATATATTTGCATCGGGATTCTCTGAACAACAGTGTAATTTAGAAAATAAAATCTATAATATATATAATTGGAGACTATTCTAATTTATAAAATATATTAGAAATTAGGTTAAATCAAAATCAAAATTTATAATAATTTAAAATAATTATCTTATGTACCTATTAATAGTTTACCATTTGAAACAAATGTATGGTTTAGTGGAGAAAATTCAACCAATTATCATATAATTTGAAATGTATTAGTTTTAAAAAAAATTACATGGGAGGTGGTTTAATGATGCCTTTGATACACTGATTCTCTAATTGATTTCAAAATATTATTATAAAATGAGAAAATATTATACAAAGTATACATGCATACATTTTTGTGCATGTCTTATAAAAGGACATAAGACATTGGTTTTGAAAGTGATGCCTCTAATCAAGTTGTTTAGATTAGATTCTGTGTCTTCTAATAAAATTTGTATAGTTATTCTTAAGGTATTATTGATTACGAAAGAATTATCATAATTTAATAAACTTCTCATTATATAAAAATAATGAAAATATTGTTGAAAAAAAATTATTATTACAAGAACGGAATAAATAAATTTTATTATTCAATCAATTTTACTAATTAATTCTATTCATAATTATTTACATTAAAATTTTTAATCACATTATATATTATATTTTTAATCATTACTTTTTATTTTTTATTTTTCATCATTAATAATATTTATATTTTTGTTTAACTGATCAAATAGATATATGAGAAAATATACTCAAGTTAATTAAATATGGATAATGGTTTATATATAAATGTAATATATATATATATATATATATATATATATATATATATATATATATATATATATCATACAGAACACGAAGAAAAATTTAAAAATTCAAACTAAAAAAAGTGGTTTTTTGAAAAAAAGATTGAGATCCTGTATAATGTGTATCACATTATTCTCGTAATCACATAGAGAGATCTTATTTATTTAAGAAAATTTTAAAAAATGTAACAAAAAATAATATCTTTTTTAAAATTTGACTATTTTTAAATAATGGATAAAATATAAAAAATTAATCAAATTAATATATATATATATATATATATATATATATATATTAAAGTTTTAAAATTTCAACTTAATAAAATAAATAGTAAATATAATGAAAATAAGACTAAAATTATGAAAATAAAGATTTATTATTTTATTATTTTTAAAAGTGATTTTTAGTATTTTAATTTTTTAAGATTTGTTTAGTAATTATTTTTTAAATTATTTTTTATTTTTTTATAAAAGAATGTTAAACATTTTATGTCAGTAATAAAATTATAATATAAAGTTATGTGCACATCACCTTATAAATTGAGTTTGAATGATAACTTTAAGTTCATGTTCTTTTTTAATATGTTAGAAGAGTTTATCCAATAATATTTATTGAACCGATGCATATTAATTATATTTTTTTTAGAAGATACACGTCTATTTTACTTGATGATTTAGAGTATATGGTATATTTTCATTTTATTTTTTTATTAGTCTTATTTTTATCTTATTTATTTGTTAGTAGGATAATTTTCAAAATAAAAATGATGATATTCTTTTTCACATTCTTTTTTTTCTATAACATGAAATAGTTTTTATAACCATGATAATTCTTAAACCATTAGGATTAGGGTTTGATATATAATTGCGAGATCGAAGAATGTTGTCCCAAACATTCCAACACGTGGAATACTTCCTAAACTCTCTCATATTATTACTCCATGAATCATATATTTTATAATCAATTCTCTAATATAATCAACACACTCTTTTCATATTAACCAAAAATAATAATAAAGGTAAACCTAGAAAAATTTAGGTTAAGCATTTTTTCTTATCCATCAACTTATTTATTTTTCCTGTTTTTAATTTTAATAAAATGTTGAAAGTACCTTTAACACCATACAGATCACAATCTAAGCACACACTGAGAAGAAACTTCTGCATCATATATACATATTTATGAACACGATTTTTACAATGACTTTGTTGTGAAAAAGCACTTAACCTAAAAAAGTTTATTGTACAGACCCTCATTCATTGTCCTCTACTAAATGATACACATTCCATCAATTCTTAACCTGACATCCACCAAGAGAGTCATATAATCTTCAGGTACATTACCTCGGATGAAATTTTCCTTTCTTTTATGTTATTTTTTCAATATGATGCAAACAACACTATTTTTAATTTTTTTATCCTTGAGAATAATAATGAAAGAAAAAAAAAAGTTACACTACAACTCTACCCAAACAATGTATTTCTTTGTTTGCTTCCTAATCAACTCAACCAATCAATGTCTGAGGCTAGTCTGGCACAACATTAAAAATATTTTTCTTTTTTCAAAAAGGGTCCATAAAATATTGAAAGAAACAACAAACGTAGGTTTAGTATACAGCTCTTCTAAAAAGGCAGCATTTTCAGAAACCTCCAAATCTGACCATACCCCATGTGCAGGGTTACCCCATTGCTTTCTTTCTTTATATTCTTCTAATGAAATGCCCAAAAACCCTTCTTATCCCCCATATATCCAGCATATTAAATCAGATTTCAATGTAATTCTCTTCTTATTTTATCATTATTACTTTATTGACATTTGGCACTTGCCTGACCCTTAAAACTAATCATTCCCAATGTTCTCAAATAAAAATCTTTCAGAATCTCCAATGTTACACCCTAACATTGCAAGACCGTTATGGCATTTGAAAATTAGAGTTATAATGTTGGCCAATTCCTATATTATGGGTCCACTTTGGTAGCTTTGGCAAGAACTAATTAAACATGGTGCATCCCCCTAATTGTTAACTTGATTTCAGCATAGAAACCCACTTGTTAGAACCTTTGGGTCATGGCATTTATTTGCTTTGTTCAATGTTTTTCAACAACACACATCCTAGAAAATCTCCAAATCTAATTAAGAAACTTGAAGGGACAAAAAGATGTGAATAATGTCATTTGTAGCTTGCCAATTATGTTCCACCCGTGTGTGTTGGTTTGGTGTTTTGTTTTCGTGCTTCCATGAAAAATTATTTTATTTAATTTGTTTGTTCTTATGTTAACACAGAAATTGTGAGGAAGATAGAAGGAATATGTTTTAGATTTCAAAAAGGGTATTTGCTAACATTCTCTTATCTTGCTTCACTAAGGAATCTTATGTCCTTCCGAATATCTTAACAAAATTTTGTGGAAGAATAAAATTAAATATTTTATTATAAATTTTATGTATAAGTTGTTTAAAATTTGATTAAAATTATTTATATAAATATTTTTTTAAAATTTTAAATAATTTTTTTATTTTTAAATAACTCAAATTTATAATTTATAATAAAATATTTATTTTTATTTATAAATAACTCTTATTACTAATTATTCTTAATTCTTGAGTTTTGTAAAGAATAATTTTTATTTAAATGTTATTTTTTATCTTTCTTTAAATAAGAAAATTAATATATATATATATATATATATAATTATATAATTAATTGTATTAGTTGGTGAAACATCTTGTTGTTCTTTTTATGTTAAATATCTAATTGTTTTATTGCACGCACTTTACACCATTTTTTTCATTTATGATGTTGCTCATTATCCCAAACCTTTTAATTTTTTTGGGAAAAAAATATGAAAAATGAATTTAGACTTATTTTATTATAAGCATATTTTAAAATTTTAATATTATTATTTAAAATACTGAATATCGTAACATTTTTTTACAAACCTTTCACATTTATTGAAATATAAAATAAAAGTATTGTTATGTGTATTTTAGTTGATATACTTATGAGTTTTTAGAAAAAGGAGGTCCAGGTTCGAATCCGTCTAGTTGTACCCAAACAGTGTCACGGACCCACGCCTCCGCTGCTACTTTTTTGTACGGCCACTGGCACTGTCTGTACAACTAAGAGTTGTAAACTGTAATAAAAACTCAATTGGACTTTTACTCTTAACTCATTATATATTTATTTTAAAATTTGCTACTTAAAACAGTCCTCTAAATAAATATTTTGATATATTATTTCATAATTTAAATAGAAAATATCAACAATTATAAAAAAATATTGTTATTTGTAAGAATTAACGTTTTATTAGAAGTATCACATGACAATTATTTTTAAAAATGTTTGATAAATAAAAATTTAAAGTTATGAATAAAAAAATATATTTTACTTTTATTTATTAAAAATCCTATTTTTTTTAATTCTGAATTCTCTCTAAATTTATCTTCTTCTTTTTTTAATTATGAGTTGATTTATCATCTTATCTAATCAAAATTTGTATATAAGTTTTTTTTTTCCTTCGAATCTCAAACTCTCTTTTTTATATCTTTTCCATGCAGTGTTGGATGGTTTATGTCACAGTGTTCAGTTAGTGAATTACGTTTTCAGCCGAGTTTGCTTAAAGGATTTCTAAACATCATTAACTCTTTTCTCTCTTTCTATTAATTTCTTGATTAGAAATGAATTAGTGTTTAACTCAATCCTAAAATTAGTTCGTATGGTGGGATTTACATATAAATCATATACTGAAATTTTGTCATATTTATAGTTATTGTTGGATCTCCAATTTATTCTTTGACGATGAGGAATTGTTATCTTTAAAAATGTGAAACTAAATATTTATGGATGGTTCAATAGTTGTTTGATAACAGGGGAATGATAACTCCAACAATTTATTATAATTTTGTTGAAAATATGATATATCTTGTCTAGTGGATAGATATGATTAGTGTTAATGATTAAGTTTAAATATAATTTAATCTTATTAAAGTCATCAATATTTTTGTGTGATGTCTCTCGCTCTATAATCTCGATTCTTGTGAGTAGTGAAATACCGACCTTAATAAGATATGATATTTATAAATTTACTTTGGGAATGAATTATAATATATATATATATATATATATATATATATATATATATATATATATATAGAATACATTTATATTAACATGTTTAATTGTTGTAAAAGTTGATAGAGACATGATAAAATTTTATTTCGAGGCGTGTATAATCATTGTCTTTAGGGACTTATCTACGCGGTATATTGCGCAAGTCCTCCAGGATACAACATTGACTTCTCAAAATTTTTGAGGATTTCAGAAACTAGCAAAAAAACTCTTAAATGAGTAAATAAACCTAGGACAATAGTAGAACATGAAGAAAATAGAGAAGAAAATATGAGAGAGGTGTGTCTGGAAGAGTATGAAGTGATATTTATTTATAGGTATAGATTGAGCCCAATAAAACAGGAAGAAAATAGAGAATAGAAGATGAGAGAGATGTGTGTCTTGAAGAGTGTGAAGTGGTCTGTGTAACCTGTAACGTTCCCTGTAATGAGGTTACCTGTAACAACTTTATATGTAACATTCTCTCTAGCATTCTAAGTTTTGTAATACTCTTTATTTTACAACAATCCCCCACATATTACAAAACAAAAGAGATAAAGAATAAAAGAAGAAAATTTTGGGTCGCATATAAGATGTAATGCATCAGGGCTGGTATAACAAACTATATGAACCAGTCTTATTCTGAAAATTTAACACACATTGTAGTTGGTTTAACAAGCTATATAAATCAAAACACTTAGTGTGTGTTAGCGGTTTAACAATCACAATACACCCCTACAATTCTGTTAAGTGGTAAAAAGTTGATTTAATTATGCCTTGAATTGTTATGAAACCACTTAACTTATGTTAATTCTAATATATTTTTCTCCCAATATAGGATGAATTCGAGAATACCTTGATACAAAAGTAAGGAGCATAATTGTCAACATAATTTAAGTAAAATTGAAAGAAAGAAGAGTGCTTAAGCGAATGAATGATGCAAGGCCCGACCCAAATTCTCTTATAAAAAGATAAGTTGTGTTTTGAGAAAGGCAAGCAGTCTTGGAGGAGAGGAGGCACGACTACTGTTAGGGTTTTGTCCAATCTTCATCAATTCTTCTTCATCAATTGAAGCATTGTAATGACCAACATGAGTGACTAACTTCATTCTCTTAGGATTTGGTGCACTTCCTTTGAACTCTTTTGTATCATGGTGATATTTTGATATATTAATCTATGCTTTGATGTTGTTATTCTTATCCTTTATGCTTTGGAATGATTTATTCTTGATTGTTTGAGGTATTATTGGAAAATATATCTTGAACCCTAGATCACGGTAAGAATATTTGTTACGTTAATTGCCAGGAATGGAATGAATGTATCAATTGCTTAAACACCCTAACCCTAATGCTGGAAAATCTGTTAATTGTGTGAGGAATCAACATTTATTAGGTTTTCTTATGAATTTCATGTGTGAGGAATCAACATGGATGATTTGAGTAGGTGGCATCAACATTGTTAGGTTAATTGATGTTCTTAATTGACATAGCCATTACAAAAGAGGGATAAGGAAGGAAACCAATCCTAAGTACCTTTAATTGATATTTTCTCAACAATTTACAGTTCTTTGTCATTTAATTTCAATTCAACTCTTATTTGCAAAACCTAATCTGTTTTAATCTACTTAGTAAGCATAATTAGGAATTTCCATTGAAACTGTTCCTCGTGGGATCGACTTTTATTTAATCGAAATACTATATTGCGATTGATAATTTGATACGCTTGCGATTGATCATACTCTTAGATTTGTATTATAATGTAATTATTTTGATAGTAGAGTTGGATTTCGTGTAGGCATTATAATGTAGTTATTTCGTGTTTCTGTAGCTAATTTGATTTTGAAAATTAGATTTGTAACAATGGATCGGAGTTGGATCAATTATAGACGAACAACAAATGAATATGAGAGTGGAGTAGAACAATTCCTTGAATTTGCTAAGATGAATGTTCCGGATAATGATGGAAGATTCTATTGCCCTTGTGTTAACTTGCTTGAATGAGCGAAGATTACCGAATCGAAGTTATTCGGGAACATGTTCTTTGTGATGGTTTCCTAAAGAGTTACATAAAGTGGACATGGCATGGTGAATTATTAAACATGCCAAGTGTAGAAGACAAAGAAGAAGTTGATCTAGAGATGGATGATCAGCTGGAGGAAATGATTCGTGAGCTTGGACAAGATGCCTTCCAACATACACATGTGTACGAGAAGTTGTCCAATGATGCAAAAGAGCATTTGTATACAAATTGTACTAAGTTCACACGATTGTCAGCGGTACTAAAATTGTTCAATGTGAAGGCAAAGAATGGGTGGACTGATAAAAGTTTCATAGAATTGCTTGAGTTGTTGAGTGACATGCTCCTCGAAGGTAACACATTGCCAACCCGCAATTATGATGCTAAGAAGATATTGTGTCCAATGGGTATGGAGTACCACAAAATTCATGCATGTCCGAATGATTGTGTGTTGTACAGAAAGAATTTGAGAACTCATCACGAATGTCCACAATGCGGGGAATCACGATACAAAAAGAAGGATGGTGATTCGACAATGATGTAATGAAGGGTACCCGGCAAAAGTGTTATGGTATCTTCCCATTGTTCTAAGGTTGAAACGATTATTCACTA